AAAATAACAAACACGGAGCAGGTGAAGCACATCGTGAAATTGCTACCATGAGATATCCAAACATGTGTTATCTTGCTACCATGAGATATCCAAACATGTGTTATCCCTTGCTATACTCATTCTTTGTCTCGGTAATTTACCAGGCATTAGCCAAAGCTGGGACACAACGTGATGACTTGTTGCAGGGCTTACGATAAAGATTCATGCACTTACGCAAAGTCCTTTTAGATTTACAGTTTAAGAGCACCTGTTGTAATAAAGAAAGCACACCAAAGCTATAAACAGTATCAATGCTAAAACAAACAAACAAAAAAAAACAGTGCACGATTAAATTTTAAACTCTTGAATATCTAGGAGAAACTGTCTAGCTGAAGTAAACGGTTAGAGGCCAAATCGTATCCGCTGGGCCGCCGAGAACATTCACGGGCTCCGCGATGTAGGCCCCCCCCTTCTCTTAATCAATTCTCTCCTCAACTTTCCCGGGCTCCCCGCCTTTTCGGCGGGTTTGCATCAACTACAAACAGGTGAAGCATCATCACCGTAAACCGATAATGAAAATGATATAATGTTAACAGTCATAAATATATTAAACTTGCGCAGGGCTAAAGGAAACAACAACAAAAAATATGTAAAAGTTGCAAAATGTATAACCTTGGAGGAAGAAAATTGCCCAAAAAGCATTGCCCAGATGCACCATTTACGTAGAGCAAAGAGTTTGTTTGTTAGTTTTTAAATTATAACGTCCCTACGGCTGAAAGGGCGAGCATGTTTGGTGATCAGGGAGCTCAACTCGCAATCTGAGAGTCGTGGGTTCGAATCCCCGTCCCACTAAACATGCTCGCCCTTTCAGCTGTAGGGACGTTATAATGTGACAATCAATCCCACTATTCGTTGGTAAAAAGAGTAGTCCAAGAGTTGGCGGTGGGTAGTGATGACTAGCTTCCTTCCCTCTAGTCTTTCACTGCTATATTAGGGACGGCTAGCGCAGATAGCTTTGCGCGAAATTCAAATCAAACCACTAATACGTAGTTTTCGTTATTTCAATTCTCATTAAATAACAGGAAATCATGGGAGCAAATGCTCCCAAAATCGACTATTTTAACATTTAAAAAACCATAGTCCATTCAGTGGACTAACTTTCTTACACTTCCGATAAAAGTTGCATATTGGAATCTGAAAAGGTTTGGGATTTCCCGTTTCTTCAATAAACTGACAAATCGAAGATTGAAACCGTTGTACAAGTATTTGAAGAACTATAATAAAAAGAGGTATGGTCTGGGTGCTTAAATTCACAACGTCCCAAGCTGACTTAAAAGTCAGTATCTGTGGCTGGCTGTAAGCATGGATGTTAAATTTTATCCACCCTTACAATCTAAATCGAGCAATATTGCTGACATATTGGTTTCGAAATTTCGCTAGTTTTTATCAATGTTATCATGATAGTAAAAATAATTATGAAACATTGCTACTTTTCCTGTTCTATTGAAGATACTGAAGTTACCGGATTATGAACAATTTTCTGTGGTTTTCACGAAGAGTGATGCCTTGGAATAACTTTAATCTTTAGAGATGAAAGGAAAGTGACAGAAATGTTGTGTATTACAGACTAGTGTAAACACAATGATACATCTGATATCTGTTACTTGACAATGATACATCTGATATCTGTTACTTGACAATGATACATCTGATATCTGTTACTTGACAATGATACATCTGATATCTGTTACTTGACAATAATACATCTGATATCTGTTACTTGACAATGATACATCTGATATCTGTTACTTGACAATGATACATCTGATATCTGTTACTTGACAATGATACATCTGATATCTGTTACTTGACAATGACACATCTGATATCTGTTACTTGACAATGACACATCTGATATTTGTTATTTGACAATGATACATCTGATATCTATTGCTTGACAAGGATACATCTGATATTTGTTATTTGACAATGATACATCTGATATCTGTTACTTGACAATGATACATCTGATATCTGTTACTTGGCAATGATACATCTGATATTTGTTATTTGACAATGATACATCTGATATCTGTTATTTGACAATGAAAGTTTACTAGCTTATTACACGTTTAACTGTTTGTTTATTGGAGTTGGAGTTATGTGTTTTCAAAGAAATTGCCATATATTCATGTATTGAAGAAGCTCGAATTAAAATAATAATAATAGCTTTCTTGGAGCATTTGACAGTATCTCAAACAGTACAGAATTTCTGGATCATCAGAATGTTCATCCTTTTTTTCTCCAAATCAGTTGTCAACATTTTTCGTTTTCAGAAAGACACAAAACAAATTTTGGTTTCATGGAAGGCTAACAATTAATTAGTAAAAGATACCGCAACAGTGAATGCAAAGTTCATAGACTTATTGAAGTTCTTTAGATGTACGTCGGCATCACGTTTCGAACCTTGGATCCTTCGATTCACATCCACAGTACGATGAAATATTCGGTCACACGTAGCTCTAAACATAATAGAATATTTATCGCCAGTGTTTAATTTTTTTTTCTTAACTTTTGTGTCTGCTCGATTTGAAGAATGTTTCCTAAAAATATTAATTTTCTACACTGAACTTACTGAAATAGTTTTATTTATTAGGTGATCCTTTTAATTTTTTGTTGACATTAATAAAAGAAAAACGCTTTCAAGATAACCGCAGTGAAATTGAATAGTTACAGTTAATTGTATTTTATAGTTATGCTTTAACTTCAAAAATAAATTACCAAAATTTAGTGTTTTGACGTTTTTTGTTTATACGTTGCTCAATTTTGACTCGTTCATTTCGTTTCCTTTTGAAATCGAATATACAAGAAAAACAGCAATACACGCACGCATGCGTTATTATTATGACTGCTCATACATACAGATTTATAAAATGCTTTGAATGGCAAACAGTACTTTCTTTTTTTGCTGTGTGTGTGTGTGGGGGGGGGTCATTTCGTGAAATGTTAGTTTTTAAATTAATTAAGTCAAATAATTTAATTATTGAAATGTTTAAGTTTTTTAAAAAAAATGGGAAGGCATTGACAAATATTAAACACAATAGGTTACTATTTGATAAAAAGAATGATAAAAAACAAACGAAGTGAACCTGTCATCATTATAATAATAATAATAAAAAGTCAACCAGATGCCAAATCCTGGTGGCACCATCGACAAGTCCCGCCATCTGTTGATTAAATTATAAGAGTAATCTATAATATTTGAGTGGATTAGAAGGCTTTCTTTGTTCCCCACCCCCGCCAAAAAAAACAATATTAATACTGTTTGCCATTTATAGCTATATGGAAAGATAATTAATTCTTTCTACACTTCAAATTTTCTGGTCATAGTTTAGATTTTTTTTAAATGGCGCACAGTAAATTGAATAAACTTAAAAAAAAAGAAGTATGTTTAATTGGAGAAACCAGTTTATGATAATAAAAGAAAATTAATTGCTACACGTAACTGCACACTACAATGGATTATTTACTTGAAAATGTGACGCACACATTAAAACGTACATCCTACAACCTATGTAGAAATAGAAAATCTTAGATCTCATCGAATAGAGGTTTGTGTCATCCATACACATAAATGACAATAAACCGACATTAAAAAAGATACAATTTGTTTATTTGGCAGTATCAAAGATAAGTGTAAGGTAACACATAAGTATTACAATGATAACCTGGCAGTCTTAAAGATAACTATTAGTGTAATAAAACTCATGCAATATAAAAATGTTAATTTGTTGACATTTTTTGTGACAGGTGAGTTTGTTAATGTTTAAATATAAAATTCTTTTAAGGATTATATATCAAATATCTTCCACCACTTTCTGTTTTACTAACATGTGCAGTAGTAGCATACAAATCCTGCCAACAAGATGTTATAGCTAATCAGTGTCAGGTGCACTTTGTCTTGGGTAAACCATTGGCATCAAGCATTTGTTCGTCCACGAGCTCTGGGCCTGAACCAACCTAGAAAAAAATAAAAGTTTGCTTGTTACTAAGCACAGTTCTACACAATGGACTATCTGTGCTCTACCCACTGTGGGTATGAAACCTGATTTGTTTGTGTTCTAATCACCGAGATTTAATCACTAACCATTCAAGGGGACATATATAAGTGTGTATATGGTATATACTCACTTTAGGGTTCTAAACCTTTGATTTTGTTAGCTTAAACATTTATAAAGTTCATTACATATATGACTTGCAAAAATATAGCTAATGAAAAATATGCAGTTTATCAGATATACAGAACTTCAATCAAGGAAGTGCACTATATGTTGTACAAGAAAGTCTTTAATGTACAGATTAGCAACCATAATATCAAGATATGCTTTGAAAAATGCCTATCCATTTCTAAATGCTAGATGATAGTTGGGCATCATAAATCCTATTAACCCTGTTGTAATGAAAAGCTTCAGAAACAACAAACTCAAGAAATATATATCAAGCTTAAAACATATTTGATAGAAGCTTCAAGAATCCTTTGTAAATGACTTGTATAAACTAAAAGTAGGTAAGCAGGTTCATTTGCACTGCAGGTTTCAACTTGAACTTTGAAAGAGTTATTGAGAACACTGTAATCTTTATGTATAACCTAAATATGCATCTGAAATACGTATTGTTTTCATCAGAACTATACTGAGTTAATTACAATAACACTCAACAATCTAATATTTGATACTAGTAATTCTAAATAGGATTAATGTCTGTCTGTAACTGTTTTAGCATTTATTATTTGTAGGTTTAAAAAGCAGCAAGTACTATTAAGGTGTAAAAAAAGAAACAAAACATCTTTGGTTGAAAGATAATAAGGGTTTGGGAACACTGGATCATAAATCATTTACTCTTTCTACACAACAATAACGATGTGTCATCTTGGATCTGAAAGTTATAGAACAAGCTGGAAACTCAAGTGTATATTTTGTCTTATGGTATGAAGTATCTCTTGTACAAATTAGCTTAGGATTAACGGATGAAAATTCAGTTAAAACTACTTGGAGGATAGCAGGTCACTTTCTGTAGGTGACCCCATAAACAGAAAATTCAAAATGTTTGTTAATCTTACTTAACTGGTAATGTTTATAAAAGATAAAATTATTTTAAACATTTAAAAACTTAAACAAATATTAATATTTTTACTCTTCATTCATTAGTTGTTATTCACAGATACTGGGATAACTCATAGCTCCAATATTAAAAATACTAAGGCACCATTTCATCAAAAAATTATAAATCAAAATTTTGATTTTAATTTAAAATCCTACAGGTTTTTATCTTTTATATTAAGAAATAAACGAATTGTTAACCAATGGTCTAAGTGTAGCAAGTAATTATATTAAACAAAATGATCTTAGCACTTACTTCACAGTCAATTGTACCCACATCATAAACAGCAGTTCATACACAACCTAAACACCATGAGGAACATCTTTACACCACACACAAAATTCAACTGTACATTTCTCAGAATATCACCTAAAATCAGTGATCCAGAAATGAAATAATCCAAAATTTCTTACCTGTGTGTGTATAATGTACTGAAGTCCATCGGGGCAAGGGGTGAATTGAAGACCTTGAATCAACTCCTAAAGCAATGCCATATACATGTGGATTAATATGTTAAAATTAAGTACTGCAATTTATAAAAAATAACACAAAACTAAGACAATTTTGTTAAAATTACTTTTGCAAACTGTTTTCTTCAAGCATATATACAATTTCTATTTAATTAACAGCAGTCTTAGTAATAATAAATAATCACCATTGCCAATATAATACATTCATTTCTTTACACGTAAAGTTAATTTTTGTTTAAACATAATTATTTTTCCCATTACAAGTTTCTCAAGAAATCCATGCAAGGGAGCACATAACACAATATCTAGAATCACCCATTAACAACTAATGGTTCATGCTTTGCCACCTTGGGCATTATACACCCCAAGATTTGATATCTTATAAATAACAGATATATAAACAGAATTTCAACTAAGACTTTACATGCTGTAATCAAGTCAGCCTGCTAGGCTTTGGCATTGAGTGAAAGATCTCAACTGATGACATACAATTAACAGATAAAGCTTAATTCAGATGCTGCTATACACTCCTCTTACTGGAAACCTATACTAGGCTCATAAATAGAAATCCAATTAAACTTATTAACAGTCTTAATTGGATACATTATCACTCCCATTTCCAAGTAATGGATCATGTTTTTCTAGCCCAGACTTTAAGCATCATGTCCATTTTGTAGTTGAAGCTACAGCCCATGACAAAAGAATTATAATAACATAATCTAAATAACTCACTGGTTAGAACAGCTTAGGTTACTACTTTGAACCATATTCATATGACAATGCAAATCATTATTTCTCAAGATATTTCTAAGATATGACTGTAAAAAAAAAGGCAAAAAGGCCCGAGTATGGGTGGAAAACAAAAGTCTACTACTATACACTTTTTATATTTCAAAAATACTTCATAAATTGAGAAAAAAGAATTAACAGCTGCTTTATCCGTATTCTGCAAATATGCAAACCCCAGTTTTCTGGATCAAAAATATGTATCATACTGTAACAGATTATCAAAATGTGCAACAAATATGATAATATCCACTAAGCTAAATACAAGGTCAGAATCTGCTTCAGTGAACTGACCAACACTGGTAGAGTTATGATTTGTGCAGTTTACTTTCATTCTTAGAATTTACATATTTTAACATTATTCATATAAGTGAAAAGCTTTTAGCTTACTCTTATTCTTTTACAATTTTAGGTATCTCTAAAAATAATCAATCACTGACATTTCAGACAGACAGTGCACCTTTCACAATGACAGTTCATTTATTAGTGTACGGTGAGTAATTTTAAACCATTACTTTCTTTCACAATCTAAAACTTTTTCAATTGCATATTACAAAAAACTGCTTAGTGAAATCTAACACAGCCTTGTGGTATCTTGAAAAAAAAAAGAAGTTTTGAAGAAACTTACTTGTGATAAAGCAACTGACTGAACAGGAAGTCCCGTGATAAAATGCTTTCCATCAGATGATGAAGGAAAACAGTAACGAATTAAACTTATCACCTCTGGAACACATGGTTCTAAAAGGTACAGACAAGCATTTGGACCTGCATCGAAAGTGTACGCCACCTTAAGAAAAATTTTGTTTTATTGTTTAATGCTTTACTGAATCAGTCATTAATATACTAGTACCATAAAAAAAACATTACCAATGCATGTTCTATTTACTGATTTTAGCATTTAAAGTTTTAGAAAACATAAAATGAACTGAGGAATTCAGTCATAATTAGAAATGCATTTTAAATATATATTTACCTGACTGATAACAAGTAAAATGCTCTAAAGATGTATTAAACTATGCAGAGGGTATATAGCAACTTGAATATGCCAACAAAGGTTGAAAGAACAACTAAAACACATCTCAACGCTGAAATGTACATAAAACTACTATCAACCGTTTAAAACACCTATTTGATTTTACTACTCTCAAGCCATTGTCTTTAACAGCTTTAGTTATATCATTCGAATAATGAAATACTATCTTTTTTTTTTGTCACAAGTATTACATATGAAAGTTCAGCACAAGGATGATTATTAATGGAAGAAATATTTTAATAGTGAGCAAATAAACTCATTAGCACTGAAAAACAATAACTTTTACCTTTGTCTCACCACAAAAGCTATTGTATTTGTGCACCAGCTCCACAATACCCCACGAAGTGTCGTTCATGTACTTTATTGGTGGGAATGTGTCTTGGCAGATAGCATGAAGTTGATTACTGTCCTAAACAAAATTAAATAACCTATATTAGGTCTAATTGTTTATGTATATTTCTTATAATCATACCCACTTCTCTATTCAATTTTCAGTTCTCTTAAAAAACACCATTCCATCAGAAGTGGCTAGATGCAAAGTGTTTGTTGAGTCCATGTTTCCCAACTACAAGTTGGCCTAAACAACTTTGTATTTAGAAAACTTTACAGACATGTCTGGTTTAGAGATTGTTTACCTTGTGTCCTTCACTTTTCTCACATGTCGATGAGAGGTGGGGGACAATTGAACAGGGAGTCGGCTGTGCACTGGCTCATATAAGCTCACTCTCTGTGTCTTAAATGTCTTTGAAGGTGTCATTTAAATGCATTTACACTGCTTACAGAAACTGTATCAATTGGAAGATTATTCCATACATCCAAAACTCTTTGAGAGAAAAAGAAATTCCTTAAATCCTATCTGGAGCCCTGCTTATATATTTTAAACTGGTGGCCTCTAGTTAAGGAATTATTAACTATAAAGAAATCTGGAGCATTTAATCCTTCAAGGCCTTTAAAAAATTTAAAGACCTCAATTAAATCAGTCCTTAAATGACAGGTTTCAAGTGTAGTGAGGTGTAATTTCTGTAACCTCCTTTCACAAGAAAGATTATGGTAACCTGTTACCATCTTAGATAACCTCCTCGGATCTTGTTCAAGTAGATCTACATTATTTTGAAGACATGGACGCCATATTTGGATACAATATTCTGATACATGATTTATACAACCTGAGCATCACCTTATGTTCCTTATTTTGAATAGTTCTCTTAACCTGATTAAAACTTGATTTGCACTCTTTGTAGCTTTAATACTGTGTTTGCTAACACTAAGAGATTTGTGGATAATCACTCCTAATTTTTTTTCTTCATTAACAGATTCAATTACACTGTTGCCTAGAAAATAGTCATACTGTTCATTGTTGAACCCCAAATGTAAACAATAACATTTTTCAGGATTAAAAAAGCACCTGCTTTCAATTGACCAGTTTAACATATTCCAAAGATCTTCCTGTAGACAAGCTGAGAAGCTGCATCCAAGTTGGCCTCTGAAGAAGAAAGGTCCACCTTTCAAAAGCGCTCGAGTTATAGGGTTTTTACAGTTTTAGAATATATTTCATTAATTTAGCATTTATAGACTATCTGAGAGCCAATATCCACAAGTATCCAAATTCACCTTTCAAAAACCTAATTGATAATGTTTAATGTAGAAGTAATATAATAAGCATCACAAAAAGGCAGAAAAAAAATACTCAAGAAGGTCAGATTATTTTTTGATGTAATTGTCTAACTATATTAATACATATATTGTTTTATCACAAGATATGTGTGGTTATAAAATTTGTACTTTTACAAAATGATGGGAACAGAAGCTAAAAATGAGGATTAACAAAATTCTACACTGCTTACTATTAGTTCTCTTTTCTTAGGTATATTTTATCCTTCAATCTTTGATCTTTTCAGCAGCCTTAATTGTACATCGTTCATGAACAAATAAAATGAGTATTTTTAGACACATTTACCAAACGAGATTTTTTTTTTTTTACATATCCCACAGGATAAACTATATTTGCCTGTCTCTACTTGTTTCAGTGCAGTAAAATGGGGTTCATACACTTGAGTTTTTTTTTCTGTAAAACATAAAAATGTGGTAAACAGAACAAAATTAATTTACAACAATTTTTTCATAATCTTACCAAAAATAAAAAAATCACCTACTTATATGTATAACAAATACTATAATAATACTTTTGTTACATAATAAAATATGCATACTGTCTTAACATATACATTCACAAATGACATAAAATCAAATGTGGTAAGTATACATGAAATAAAACTTTTTTTGGCTAAAGTTAATAAGGCTATCCACTACCATCTCTAATTCTGAACTACTGACTAGATGGAAGGCAGCCAGTCAGCAGCCCCTAGCACTAACTCTTGGGCTAATCTTTACAATGAGTACTTGGATTGGTCGTCACATTATAATGGCCCCAAAGCTGAAAGAATAAGCATGTTCAGTGCTAGATTTTGTTCCTACGCCTGCAAAGAAGGAACTAAGTAGCATAGTTAACAAGTAGATGTAAATTACATTAAAATTCTTTACACCTGAAATGCATTTTTAAATGACTTGCATTTTTTTACATTTATCTTGTGTTCTAAACAGTTTAATTTTTTGTTGTTTTTTTTAAAAGAGAAATATTTTACATAAATGCTTAAAAGCTATTTTATTGCTACCACACATGAAATCTTGATTTCATTTGTTGGAATGATAGATCTTTTCTATACAACAATGTATTTTCTCATTTACAAAAATTTAATATTTTGTTACTGAAGGATACGATCTATTAATGAGTTTGTTAAAACTTAGTAATTCTGTTGGTAAAACATAACTTGAAACTTGCAACAGACAATGCCTCAAAACTTGATTTAGTACATTGTGAAAATCAGTTAGATTGAAATATGATTGTGTAAAGATATCAGTTCTTTCAAGATAGTGGTTTGTGTGTGTGTCACAATATGCAAAGGCAAAAGCATAGAATTACAGAATACGTCCAATTATTGATAGTTACAATTTACTAATCATAAAAAATACTTCCCTTTATCTGCTAGACTTTTTTTTGTAATGATTCACATACATAAAACTCATTGCAAAACTATGATGATATTATTTTTCTCCCATGTTACAAACATAACATGTCATTGTAATGTGTCAATTTAGCCTGTTGTCAAGTGATTATATAACACTTATTCAGTAGCAAGGACTTGCTCATTGTGAAAAGCATTCTCACGTTACTCTAACAAAAGACATTTAGTGCTGACCATATCTATCCATTTCTGATGTTCCATTGTGGTCCACTATTGGATGTGATGACAATCGTCTGAGGGCAAGTGTCCATATCAGTATGTGATCTGCTAACATTTGCTGTCCCACATCTAGTGGAGCAGTGCTTTTTGCATATACTATAGATTCTCTAACCTAACTGCTCTAATTAATGTAATAATATTTAATTTTACAGAATCTCCTATTATATGTGCTAGTGATCATATTATAATCATTTTTTTAGCTTGAGCTTTTCCTTCCTGTTTAAACATTTTCAAATAGTTAACAATTTGATTTTAAAGCTTTGATGCTATCTAAAATGCTAGTTTCCTGTAAAAGTCGATTCTTCATTTTATGTGCTATATATTTATATGTATTTAACAAATATAAAATTAAAGACAACATCTGGATTTGAAAAGAACACTACCAAATTGTTGATACACACACACAGATACTCACTTTCATTGTTATTTCAGCAAATTTACTGAAGTCCTTCTCTTTAATAGCTTGAGTTATATCATTTACTTGCCGAGGTATGACCTTTTCTGAACGGAACTTGAGAAGCTCAGAAGTACGAACACTCTGTTGCATTCCCTGTGAGCTGCTTGTTCCCTTCTTTTGGTTACTCACCTTTAAGAAGTAAATCCCAAAGTAAGTAAAAACCTGTGGAACTCACAACAACAAGAACTATGTTTAAAGCCATACCTGAGGATATTTTCTGCTTTATCTCAAGCTCATTATTTTGTAAGTAGTCTCACTTTAACGTCTTGTAAGAATTTTGAAGAAACTGAAAGTATTAACATTTCTACAGTGGTTACATTTGACAATAACAAATACTTAGCAATATTTGTGGAGAATTTCAAGGCAGTAAAGAATATTAGCTTGTCCCCTTTTTCTTTTAAATTTGTATACATGATCCTAATAAAAACAACTGTTAAATAATTACAATGAATATTGGTTGAGATACATGCATCAATAGACCTTTCGAAATGGAGCAGATATTTGAAATGGATAAAAATGTGTATTGTATATCGTTCTTAGGTCATCAGAAAATGAGTCAAATACGAGTTATTAGAACTGTGGCTACTAAAATTATTATTAAATGAGAACTTACAACAAGAATCAAGATTCTTAGAGATGGCCAGTGTTTTTCAGATGCAACTTGTTGGGCTACAGAATCAGTTCCATTTTCTTCATCTCCGGTACACCACTGTACAAAACCACCATACATGCTGCGGCATGCGCTACCGGAACCTTGTCTTTCAATAAACCAATTTGGTACATAAGTTCATAAATGTCTTAGAAAACAACACTGTATATGCATACATTTACACATAACTATTTAATAAAATATAAACACATACACAAATATACATTTACTTATAATTAACTTTTAAGTGCTTTCAAGCTACATATTAAAAAAAAGAAGCATTACATAGAATTTTAAACATTCACATCATGAACAAGACCTTATGTACATTACAATTATATGTAGGATAAAAGAAGCAGCCCATACATTTGTAACTAATGAAACATAAGATTCATTTTAAAATGGAGATGTGCTTTAAACAAACGTCACTATAAAAACTGGAATCTAAAAATGCACCACTTTGCTGGATTTACCTTGCTATTTCTGATAAGTCACCGTCTACTCCAAAAAGCTTCCCAAGAGTAAAAACTAAAAGAGATGCAAAAAATAAAATTGCATTATTAACTGTTTAAATGTAGTTATAGAGCTATTAACTTCATTTAACTCTTAAAGATCATATATTTCACAAATACCATCAAAATTCCAGCCATATTTAATGTGGTTTGAGATTTTAAAAATAACCATTCAATAAACACTTGCAAACTGTGCATGTAGATTTTTTGCAAGTGGTTAATACATGTTATTACAAAGTTAACCATTTGAAACTTTTGTCAGAGTTTAACATCTGAAACGTACATAGATAAGTTACAAACCAATTAATTATACAGGTTTAAGATGTTTGGTTTTTAAGTACTAGTGTTCAAGGATGGCTCTTTGTTTAATGTTGTTAGCTTCTTCACTTTTGGTGTCTTTATAATGTTTTTATTTTAGATTATTGGTGTGTTTGCTTAATTTGTTTCATCGATACACATGTACACAAAATCCACGCGGTATTTTAACTCTCTCAAAAGAGATTTCATAACATACGTTATTATTGACAAAAATAAGACATCTTATTATCTGAGCACTTTCAAAAGGTAGACATTTTATCATTAGGGACAAACTGGGAATGACTAGGTTAAGTAAAGTATGAGAAAAGGTGCAGAGATATCATGGTTACAAAATTAGTTTGTTTGTTTTGAATTTAGCGCAAAGCTGCACAAGGGCTAATTGCGCTAGCCATCCCTAATTTAGCAGTGTAAGACTAGAGGGAAGACAGCTAGTCATCACCACCTACTACCAACTCTTGGGCTACTCTTTTACCAATGAATAGTGGGATTGACCATCACATTATCATGCCCCCATGGCTGAAAGGGCGAGCATGTTTGGTGTAACGGGGATTCGAACCTGCGACCCTCAGATTGCCAGTCGAGAACCCTAACCACCTGGCCATGCTGGGCCCTACAAAATTAGACTACTATTACAACCTAACCTGGAAGTATTTTGATTAGATGTTAAAGGAATGTTGCGGGAGTAATTAATTTCCATTGTGCAGTACAACAAGAAATTAAAATGTTAGATATACAGAGATTATAAGATTTTGTTAAAAAAAACTAAGTGAAAAGGGAATCTATATTAAGTATTGATAATGTAAAATAAAGATATGATATGAAAATTGATTAGCAAGAAAATGTTATGTAAAAATTGCTGAAAAAGATAAGACACACAACAGATATTATAATGGATAAATAATAAGCATTAAGAATGATTAGGATCGAAATAAGGAACTTACACATGAGAATGGAAATACAAATTCAGGGAACTAATGAGGACTGAAGTCACAAGTTTAGTACCTAGGTTTATTCCACAAGGATGAAAGTTATTTAAAATAGCAATCCGATAGGTTTTCTTTTTCTTTTCTCTATCAGCTTTTGGAACCAGTTTCAATCCCTATAAAAATCAGATCATTAACCCTTTCCAGATGGGTCACGGGTGAAAGGCCATGTTATTGCGTTTGTTGACTCGCATTCATTTCATGAATTTATGTCAACATATTTGGTATCAAACTGTAGATTATAATTCAAATTCTAGTATTATACCTTACTAAACTTCTTAATTTAAAATTAAATATTAAAAAACACAGTTAAACATCGATTTTTGTGTGTCATGTGGTATGTTGAATGTAGCACTGGTTCAAATTAGATGTTTGTGATGCTAAAATACTAAGTCTATAGTTTCATACAAATTAGAAACTCAAACTACCGATACTGACAAGCTAGAATATCAAATACGAGCTTCTTATCTTTTCAATATGCTAAGATATTGCTCATGTAATAAATCAAACACAGTGGCACCCTGCCCACCTCTTTCCCTTATATACACTTACTTCTATATATGACATGAATAACTAATCTGAAGCTCAGAATGTCCCCATAGTAGCTTTTTCTGCCATTTTAACATATTTGGATGCAATCTCTTTCTTTCAAACCAAGATTAAAAGGAGGTAGGTTGTGTCTTTAGTCTGTTCAAATTATAGTGGAATTCTATCGTATTGATATAGTAATTTATGATTTTTATATACAAAGCCTAAAAACAATTATTTCATTTCATCTCCGCCACGTGCAAAATTTTAAAAGGCTTAGCAACCTACATCAAGCACCAACCGAGTACAAAGGTCGTAACTAGAAGAGATAATTGTTTGCTTTATTTACTGTTCTATGTTTTAAGAAAAATAAGTTTAAGAACTTATTTCTAAATAGCAATAATCTATAAACATATATAATGTATAATAATTGAAATGTGACTGTATTTTACAAAATACTAGTCTACTAAAACACAGCCTAGACAGGCCACTTTGTAAAGACTAAAGGTCAGTTTTATGTTATTGGAAAAGGTAACATGAGTGCATGTATGCATCATTATTGTAACTTTTGTATTGTTAGCCAGGCATGGATGAAAGGTCAATATAATAAAAATAATTAATATATATATAAATTTATAATGTTATGAGATTTAACCTATTAGTCTAAACATTTATGTTTTGTGTTATAATTTGTAGTCATTCTAGAACGAAAAAAGGCATAATTTATATTTATTTCCTAATTTTTTAAAGTGGTTACGAGATTGGTCAAAACGAACAAACCCATACAGAGAATCGTTACTGAAAATAACAGATAAAATATAAAGTTTTTTCTTAAGAAACGTTTGATAATTATCTGGACATAATTAATATTTTGCATGTGAAATTTGAAAATTTTTCTGATTCACAAAAGTATTTTTAATCTTAAAATGAAAATTACTTTGCATGTTGATAGGCAGCATGCAAAAAGAAAAAAAAAGGCATGAGAAAAACATTGCTTTACAAACCTTAAGACTTAATAAAAGAATTTAATGTTTTGCATATGAAAGCATTGTAATGTTTACTGATAATCTGCCAAATTTCATTAACATATGCCTACTAATTTCAAAGTTATAGCATGAAAACTATAACAAGCACAAAATGGTTAGGAGGTCGATCCCAGGGACTGAGCCCGTGCTGAAAGAGATAACAGAATGATGGGTTGGTTGAAATGTTGGGCAACAGGAAAGTCTGTTTTTTGGTGTTAACAGAAGATTTATAGTTGTTGGAATCTTCTCTAAGAGTTGTTTGAGTTTGTTGTATGAGATAATTGCATTGTGTATTGTAATTTCTCTAGTAATTTTGAAGTGTTTTTGATCATATTTATCTAAAAAAAGAGTTGGCGGTTAAGAACTTGCAAGTTAAACAACAAGCTATATTATGCATATGAAACACATTCCATTGTTGATTATAATTCACTTTTACATGAACATGGACATCTTTAAGGTTTTTGCTCTTGCAGAAGAAAACAACATGAACTTTATCAAAAATTTGTTTTTGGCAATCATTCAGCTTTAGTAAATGGGAAATGTTTTTTTTTTCAAAATTCCCAAAATACTGAAAGGCAGTAAAAAGAGAAACTCTATTTGGTTTTTAAGTATTGGTGTTTAGGGATGGTTCTTTGTTTAATGGTGTTAGCTTTTTCAGTCTGTCAATTTTGGTATCTTAGATTCTTGGTGTGATTTCTTCAATTGTTTCACCAGAACAGATTTTCTTGATTCACAGCACTTGACTGTAGTTAATATTTCATTTAGTTTGAGTTGGATGACAGCTTTTGTAGTGAAGATATTGTGGTCTGTCAGCAGGTTTTCTGTATAAGTCAGCATGCAAAATGCCATTATTTAACGAGCCAGTAATGTCAAGAAAGTTTATTTGGGTACAGTCTATTAGAGTAACCTTTAAGTTTCTGAATACGAAGGTTGAAAGCAAGTTATATTTTGATTACTTGAAACATAATACTTGCTGAAATAATTTATATGCCTACTTAAGTCATCATAATTCCCAAATGAATCATTTTCCTGCACATAAACATAATGTTTTAGGGGTTAACGTTTGCTAAAACAATGATATATTTTAACTCCTTTCATTCACATAAAGTGAGAGCTCATACATTAGTATCTCTTCTGTTTCTATTCAATTAATGTTTTCATAGAATCTGTTTAACACATACTTGTCAGAAATGCATACTTTTAAGAGAATATAATATTTTGCATTTTTAGTTGTTTTTGTATATAAAATAATTTAGGATAAGATAAAAAATAGGAGCTCTCAGCTTATTTCCAGTTTCTGTTTCTTATTAAATTTTTCATGTAGCTGAAAAAACTCAAGAACTGATTTCAATTTTCTGTTTCTTGGTGAATTTCATTTACATATATATATATATATTTACACATATAAAGAATGTAAAATTTATTTCTAATCTATTAAAATTCCTTAAGCTTATACAGAAAATGAACAACTATACCTAAACAGGCATACCCAGCAGCCGAAGAAGCCAGTCCTGCTGCAGTAGGGAAATTATTTTTTGAACAGATATGAATATGACAGTTTAGAAGATCTTCCTGTTCTGTGCTGTTCTCTTCCAGAGTTTTTCTTTTTCTTACACGACGTCGAACTAAGAGAAAAGCACAATTTGTTTCATTAACTATTTCTTGGACATGCATATCGTATTTTTAAAGTTAAGATTGAATTTATCTATCATGTAATGATACTGATGTGTCTTTATGAAATGTTATAATTTTCCTACACTGAAAATGTATTTCCGACAGGTACTTCCTTCCACCACATACATAGTTATTCTCGTTCAGTGCTGCTCTCAATCTGCAAATATTTTTTTGCATGCCACAAGCCTTTCACTCCCACACACACACTCCTCGATTCACATGGTTTAACTGATTCTCGCATGCAAATTATCATACGACCAATAGTAGTGCCACATATGCACATGATTCCCTCTATCCTATTCTACCTAACTATCACTTTGAGTTTAGGCAGAAACATAAGCATTGGTTGACAGTGGGGAGGAAGGGTGGGAAGTGTGAGTGGAAGTAAGTACCTGTCGAATATACATTTTCAGTGTAGGAAAACTATAACTTCCGACAAGATACCTTACTTCCATTCATATATGTAGCTAGAATCCCACATTGAATAGGTGGAGGGACCGACACGAGAGAGAGAAAGTAGAAGCATCCTTCGAAACTGTCTCAAGTAAACTAATGATGGGATCCTCTAATAAGAGGAATATATGTAAGAGACCACACTACTTCTGTACCATGTATCCTCTTTGCTCAGATGTGGAAAAAATATGAAAGATCTGGGCAGAGAAAACAGTTGGATAATGATCCTAAACACAATATATTATAATTTCAATCTATCTAATGAACAGAATGTGGGTAAAATAAGGGATGTGCCCCAAGGTGTACAGTGGCTAGGGTGCAACAAATCTCAACCACCAGGAACCAACATCCGTGCAGGGGTAAGACAAGGATCATACCATAATCCAAAACTCAACCACTGGGAACCGACACCCATGCAGGGGTAGGAAAGAGGATCATACCATCTTCACTTCAAGTTCAGCCAATAGCAGGGAGAAATCCCACCACTGATCCATGAACAGGGCACATTTGAGGAGAGCGAAATAACATACCTACATATATATCCCACTCAAATCAAGCAGACCAGAAACAAAGATATCACACGGAATAACCTATGAGTGATCTTGTAGAACACTCCATCTCTAGTTTATGTGTGCACAAAAATTATGAAAGTGAAGTCAACATGGCCTTACAGTGTGGGTTTTAGTAAAATTCTAAGTGATTGAAGTATACCTGGACAGGCACCACTTGCTACAGAGAGAGAGAGAGAGATCCTGGTCAAAACATGGGACAGGTTTCTGAAAACAAATATATATAACAAAAGAAAGAAAACTTACCCAGTGACAGTCTCACTGAAGAGTGAAGGATGTCATCAGGTGGAAGACAGTACTCTGACAAGGAAGAAACAGCTACCCAATGCAGATAATGGGAGATGAACATATAAGGTGTTGTCTCAGTGCTCGACAGATGAAGTACCTCCAAGGGAAATAAGAAATAAAAGACCAATCGAATCACAAGCTGAACCCAATGGGTAAGGGAGGAAGGGAAAAAATCACAAAGAGAAGAGTGGTGCAAAGGAATGAAACTGCAGGAAATGGAGTCAATAAAAAGAAGCCTTGAAAGTGATGAATCAACACAGAGCATGTACAGGACAGAGACGGTCATCTGGACCTGACCAAGAATAAAGGTGGAAGATGGCAAGAAACAAAACTGACAAAAAGAATATTTCATATGAGCCCCCAAAGTGTAGGTTAGTAGAATTGATCCACAACAAAAAGAAAACTGAGTTGAAACAGCCAAGAAAACCGGATCTGTGCTGGCCAGGAAGGATCATTTAGAAAGACCTGACCCAGAGTGATGTAGATAATCAAAATCATCTTGGGAAGAAGACTGACAGAATGATAAAAACTAAAGTTATAAACTGGATCTAATCCTATTTGAACATACTGACAGCCAGGGAGAGTGAATGATGAACTGGAGACCAAGAACAAAAGAAGTAACTTGAAATCAAGAAAGGAGTCAAATGTTATCTGTGGAGGAGTATCCCACAGAAGGCAGAGTCACAGAAAATTTGAGGATCGAGAGGCCAATCCTTGGGAGAAAATGTGTTGGGATTGGAAAAACAATCTGCAAAGTGGTCTAAAGCACCTGGAACACGATTTGAGTGACAGAGGTGCAAGAGGGCCATGATGGGGAGGGGGGCACTATGAAAACTTTTAAGTGTAGTGAGTGTTAGTATAATAAGTCTTAAGTGAAAATGTAATGTGGGATCACCTAGCCTAGAGCCAAAATAGAAATATCAATTCAATTTTAAGCTTAAACCGTTTCTGAATTTAGATATTTTCTGTTATATCACCAACGTTTTTAATAAAAACAAACCTCTTTAATCAATGGAGACTAACTTAAGAAATCAACAAATATTTTATCAGTTTTGTTGTCTATACATTTAATTTTATAATTTCAGTACATAGACTATGTATTAGGTTATACATTTGTTGCAAAGTGACATGACATAAAAGCCATTGTTGGAACGTAGTGTTACCAAAATGTATTGGCTTTTCTATATATTAGAAGTTGTTAATCTAACTGATTTTTACCAATAATTATTCTATAAATGCACCACGTATTCATTTCAAGAATGATCATAACTTTGATTGACTCATAAAATAATTTACTGATGTTCATTGGCTCTACTTCACTTTTCTGCCTCTTTGTTGGTCAAACTAGATTCACAAAATTTATTTATTTCAGTTAGTTATGAAAATGAG